ATTTCTCCTCCAATTTCCATAAGAAAAGACAGTTTGATGTAAAACAGACATTTATTAAAAGGAAACTGTCAAAGACGACAAGTTTATATTCACGTTAAATAAATATGTTTTTTTATCATGTACAAACATTATTTCTTCTCCTCCTGCTCCTCCTTCTTCTGTGTCTCCTCTTCCTGTCGCTCACGGCCGAACTCGACCACCAGAGGTTTCCCGAGCAACCGGTATCCATGGATCAGCCGCAAAGCATTCTGGGCAGTTTCAGCATCTGCCAAAGGAAAATAAATGCACCCAATAAAAGAGCGAATGTGGAACATGATGGAAAGTACGGAGCCAAGGTTCAGATCATCATGACCAACAAGTCCCTGGTAACAGAGGAAGGAGGCTGCACACACCCTCCCTCCCTCCCTCACCTGGCAGAGTGATAAAGGCCTGACCCTTCATCCTTCCCGTCAGCAGGCGGTAAACGACTGAAGGCCCGTTCTCCGGCTCAAACCTGGAGAACAGTGCCACCAGCTGGGCCGCTGACGCCTGTGCACTGAGGTTCTTCACACACAGAACCTACAGAGACAGACAGTGATCAGGACACGTTCACACCACATGTGAAGACGACACTGTGCGGAGTGTGTCTGCATCATGTCCTGTATATTGTACTCGTGAACGTTCAGCTCAGACATGAGATTCTTGTTACAGCAGTTAACACCCTGACACAGGTTAGTGCTTCTCACCCCACCGATGTCGAAGGATTTATTTCATGACTTCATTTTAAGATGTCACAGATGAGATCTGCTGAATGGACCCAGTGTGTTATCAAGCTCTAATTGTCCAGTGAGTTTCTATTTATCAGAGTTAAGTTTGATTAAAAGCAACATTTTGGTGATATAACGTTTCTTATCTCTACCGGAGAGAAATGACGACGTGGGAGGAGCTGACGGAATTTGGTTTAAAACATTTAAACCAATATTTGACTTTCTGTAATTATGGTTATTCTTTTCTATAAGATTAGTTTTTATCTCAAGAAACGTCTGATGAGTTGATTAATTAGAGCTTATTTACTTCTCAGACTCTAAATAAAGATGGACGACATGACAGCTCCGTTAAAAGTGAAACCAAATCAACTTGATCGCCCCCTACTGGCTGCTTGCAGTATAGGTCATAACCCCACCAGCAGCACACACATTCTTTTGGGAGAGATGGAGATGTGACATCCATCTTTACTGACTGATGTTTGTGGCCACTAGGTGTCGCTGTCGATACCTTGGAGGGTTTTCCGGGCTGGTAGTTTCGGAACCTCGGGATGCTCCGGATCCCGTCCTCAGATTCGCGGTTCTGCAGGATTTCTTCGTCCGTGATCGTCTCGATCTTTCCTCTGAGAGTCAGGAGTCCCACTGGCCCCGCCTTCGCCGCTCCATCCAGACTGCCGATTGGCTGATTTATCTTTATCTCAGTCGGAGCAGCTGCTCGTGTTGACTCCTGTGTGTCCTGAGTGCGTTGCTGCTCTGAGGCGTCTCCACTGGACTCTGGTTTGTCTGGTGACAGATTCTCTGTTGTGTCTTCTGTCTGTGAAGTCTTTGATTGCTCAGATAAAGTTCTGTGTGTGGACACTTGTGATGGTTCTTCCTCACAGTCCTGTAATGACGCTTGTTGTCTCTCCGCACTGAGAACGTCTCTGTAGAGAGTGTCCATTGGATTGGAGGACGTCGCCCGCTGTTGTCCATCCTGGTTATCTTCGTCTGTGGAGAAAACACGAAAACCTAAATGAGATTATCTGATGTCATTCAACGGTGTCTCCATTCTGTTGTTTCAAACAGATTCATTCATCCTGTCATAGGTCAAAACATATAAAACATTTATTTTAAACATAAACTTCTCTCTTCATTCTAACTTCTTTAACTTAAGTGATTCCAGGATCATAGATTTGTTTGCTTGCTGATTTCAATCTTCTCCTCAGTTTTTGACGACTCTCGATCACTCCGTACCTCGATGGTAAAGTGCAGTGAGGAAACCCAGGCGCTCGTTTCCCTGGAACAGTGCTTGTTCGATCTCCATCTCCCGCCGTGACAGTGGCCGGCTGGTGGCGAAGCGCTGTGGGCGGGCCAGGAGCTCTGCCCTGGCTTCAATCTTGTCTCTGATTACCTGGAGACGCTGCTGCTTCGCCCCCGGAGCTGCGCACACGCCGTGGGACTGCGTGGGCATAAAGACAGGGGTCAGAGATCAGCTAACGATGAGGTTTATATTTAGTGTGTACTTCTGTGTTTCCTCTGAGATAAAGGAAGTTTGATTTGGTCCATAAGAGAATATATATATGCAGTGCAGTAGAAAATTAGAGAGGGCTTCACACAGAATAAAGGAAAAACTCAAACTCCATGCAACAGGCTCCTCCTGTTGTCAGGCACATCACCTTCTCCATTGCCTCTGGTGCGTCTCTGCTCTGCCACACCTGGATCTCAGTATCAGTGAGGCCCAGCTCCCGCAGACTGGCCAGCTCCTTCTCCCCATCCTGCAGGGCCTGGAACTGGGAAAGGCTCCTCACACCGGCCGCCTGCTCCCCGAACGGCCGGTAGAGCGCTGCCGGGGCGAAGCACTGCTTTTTGGCTACGCATCTGTGAAACAGCATTAATATGACAGTGAGATTGTGTGAATGATGACAGAGTATTCACTCACAGCTCCGTCTATTGAAGACTGAGGTTTTAACGGACAATTTCAATGTCACGTTGCCTAAATGGTGTTTGTGAAGTTTTATGAAGAGAACTCTGTGATAAAAAAGATGCCTGTGTAAGAATCTGTGCCCCCGGGAGCTGTGTTTATAAAATCCTCCCGGCTGCTCTGTGGGACACTGTGAAGGTTAAGTAACAGAGTTTGAAGGACACTTTTATCCAAAGCTCCTCAAAGTTACAAGAGTGTTGGATTTTTTAATACACACAGAGGATTCTAGTAAAGATAGTGCTGCACACACTCTTCCTTTCCCACAGAACATAGACAAACCAGCAGGTCTGGTTTTCTCAGTTTACTGTTAATTCATGTATCATCATCACGGGAATGACTGAGAGGGTTTGTGTCATAGTTTCACACTAAAAATAAAAATCATCTGCAGATACAAACAGATCGTCTCTGACCGCTCGAAGTCCACGCCAGTGTGAAGCTGCTGCAGCAGGAGGTTGTGCAGCTGCCGCTGTCCCTCCGTCTCCTGCTCCTCCAGCAGCGGACCATCCTCGCAGGGCTGCCGGCTCACTCTGAAGAACACAGACAGACGTCAGTTCAGATGCTGATACAAACACTATCAAGGGCCGCTTTCTGGGATTGTTATACAGAGACACTGGATTTTAATTTGTCAGGTATCTAATTCTGTCGCATTATATCTGTATTTAAGTTTACTTTTAAATTCATTCCAAGACAATTGCCTGAATGACGCATCTATTGATATCATCATATGAAATTACATATCCTGTATTGTAGATTTCATCAGTAATTCCTCCCTCAACCTCACATTCATCTGACATGAACTAAGGAAAGATGTCAAATAAAATCTTGGCCGTGGAAATTAAAAATGTTTCCCTCTGCTATGCTTCTTACTTACTTTTAACATTTTACAAGTGTCATAGGCTCAACAATAAAATGCATTGATGATGAAATATCTGGTTACCACTACTGTAGATTGTGATTAGAAAAAAGCATTT